AAAAAATCAGCAATGCCCCATTTTCTGGTGTGGCTCAATGCATAGGTCAATGGACGCACTGAATGATCATATAGGTAAACATCTACGACAACAACGCAGGCGTGCTTGTGTAACTTTCACACTTGACCGCACAGTAGTGCTTAAAAGACCTTTGAGAACAAAATCAAATTATTTACATCGTTGTAATATTTGTTTGCGTCGTTGTAAAAACGCTGCCAAATTTGCCAAACATCGAAAAAGGTGCGTCAGTAGTTTCATGGCACGATTGAAGGAACAGCAGGACATTGCGCACATACTCATACTATGCAAAAATTAAATGGCGAGAGAATTATGAAGTAAACCTTCAAACTAAAAATGATTTATTGGATTTAAAAATGAATTTGCCATCGAATAATCAATATGATAAACATGAATTCATGAACTCTGTGGTCAAGCAGTCCCAACATTTTCCAAATCAAAAAGATGTATTAAAAAGCGTTTGGCTTTGTCTATGTTAGAATGAGCATTATAAAAAAAAGGAAGCCTTAAATCACATATTTTAAAATGTATTTACGTTTAAGGAATTATATTTTCTTGGAAATAAACAAAGTAAAATTAATGCATGCGCTCTCCCATTTAATTGTTATTACATCATGAATTTGTTATTCTTCTCTGACAAGTGTTTGGAGGAGCGTTTCGCATCCAGAAACAATGAGTGTACATCGTCGATGTCCTCTTTTGTAATCTGTGTTCGTCCATTCACCTTGGTCATTTGATGTGCTGGCGTAAGCAGTTGCACAGCATAGCGTAAAGTAGATGTGCTGCCAATGTCACTGAGACGGCTGAATGCTGATCCTTCCAACTGAAGGCCTTCCGTTTGGGCACGTAGCTTTATAATTTGTTCCATTTCCGAGGATGAATATGGCAATGTGCGTATGATTAGTAATCGATCAAGTAAATCTAGTGGTATACCATGCGGAGATACGATATCAGTTGTGCCGCTGGAAAATGCAGAAGAATTGAATCTATAAAAACAATATTTATATAATGGGAAAAATACCGTATGACACAACGTCCGCGGTTCGTGGCAAAGATTACAATAGGCGCTATAGGTGATTCAAGAGATTTATGTAAATATGTGAATGTTTCCAAGTCAAGCATATGTATTTCGTCTATGAAGAGTACGCCTGGTACTAGTTCGGCAATACCCTGATCGATATACTTGTTTACTACTTTGTTAATCTCCATACGCAATTTGTCTGCAGAAATTTTAGTACTAATAATTTATCATTCTATGTAGATATTTCTTACCTGTAATTTCTGTTTTCTTTGGCTTCATCAACTGACCCATCATTGAGAGCACGTCTTGCCCGCCTTGTGGGCGTGCATTTGCAACATCCAAATCGTGTAATGTGACATCCTGTATTACTTCCTTCTTCTTGTGTACATCACCTTTCGGCAGAGGTACATATTCCTCAGTTTCCAAGTCGAATTCAGTTGCAAAAGTGTCGCTGCGTCCCTGCCGTTTTACAGCGCCACTATTCGCTTCAATATAAATTACATCACCCACTTCCACTTTTTCCTTCTGCAGTGACTCGAAAATGCTTGGATCGAGCTTCAACTGTTTAGTACCTTTTGCCGTCTTCAGACCAATTACCACGTTGCTGATAGTTTTGCCATAACCGCCCATTGGATTCTCAGTTTCGACAGGTGTCAATTCAGTCACTTCACCCTCATACACTTCCTTCGTTTCGCGTATGCGCAAGCCAATTGAACGTCGGAAATTTTCCATCAAAACTTCAGTTTTTTTGATTTCGCTGCTGAATACTTCAGAGCCGACCATGGGACAAAAGGGTACTTTATTACCCAATTCTTGAGCAATAGCTAGAGCTATTGCCGTCTTGCCTGTACCTGGTGGTCCGGCTAACAACAACGCACGACCAGCCATTTTCTTGGACTTAATAAGATCTAAAACAATACCGGCGGCTTCGCGTGCAGTCTTTTGCCCTACCAGGCCAGCGGCGATTGGCAGTGGCACGCCATTCTCATCCAGTCCCAGACCTTTCACGTGGCTGTGTGCTGCGATGCGTTGAGTGCGCACAGTGCTTTTCACTTCCTCGATCTTCATATTGATTGGAATAAGTAAGTTTTATTAATTTTAATGCGTGTCTAGACTTTATCGATCTAACTTTTGCCTTTTATTTTTGGGGGAAGTTTCAAATGGCGTTTGGCGCAGCGCACGCTATTTTGTTTTTATTTGAAGGCCGGCTGTCAAACCTAGGGTTAGGACTGTCCTATTCACAAGTACGATACTATCGATAATTTTTGCTCCGTGTATTTTTTGCATCGATGCTTTTAACGAAATCACACTTTTCTTATCATTTTTTGCTGAAATTTTATTTATTCGTTTTGATACTATGTACATGTTTAATAAAAAGGTTTTAATTACTGCGATACTCTGCAAAGAAATATGTAAAGTATTGTTGTATGTACATACTTGAATTTGCGTAGTAAGAAACTCAATTTCCACGAAACAATCGATGAAGATATCGGCAGCGTTGCCTGTTGTTGCGAAACCATGGGCCAAATATAGTAAAATTGCGATTTTAGTTTTTGACTCTGACGTCAGTAATTAATAAATTATTTGAAAAATTCAGAGAAATGTGCTTAAAGAAACGGTATGGGTATCAAATTAAGGAGGAAATCCTGTAGAATTTAAACAGATTCAAGTTTTTGACGCAGAAGGACTGGTAAGTATCGAAAATGTACTTTTGAAATTTTTTCCTTGACTTTTCGCAATATTTGTTTTTGAAAAAATTATATGTCAAGGACTTATATAAACTCTATATAACTTAATCTGCTTAAAAATTACCTATTCGTCTTTGCGAATCCAAAAAATTCCAAAGAAATTTCCTCTTTCATTTTTTTCTACTTTTCATTGAACTTTTTAAATAATTTTTGGAATTAATCGTATCGTTGAAATTACAATGTCCAGTAAAAAAAATCCTGACGACAGAGAGAAAAAATAGAAGCACTACATAAATAAAAAAGTAGGTTTCACACCCATTTATTTATTACTTATTTTATGGTAGGCGAGCTTCTCAAACAATATAGAAGCAATTTTTTCGATTTAATTTGTTAAAAAGTAATGAATATCTATTCCCGGGATCGGAAAAAGCTGTAAAATTAACATCCCTAACTGGTACATATTTTATTGAGTGAAGAGAATTATGAATAAATTCTTTAGCAAAACTTGTTAGTATGAACAGTTTTTAATGCACATCGTTAAGTTGCAGTTTGAAAAAAAATTTTGCTGAAAATGTAATTTTACTGTAATTAAAAATATTTTTGTTCAAAGTAATGCGAATTTTAAAAATTCGTAAAAAAGTTAAAATTTTTATTTTTTACGTATAGCAATCAGAAGCTCGAATAAAATGAAAAAAAAAATCGGAAGGGCCTCCTGGTTTGTTTATTGAAATTTTTTATATGTTTACGAATTTCCCATGCAGATGAAGATTTTTGAGAGCCATGCTGACGATTTCTAACTTCAATGACCTGGCAACACTGGCCGAAAGATAAATTAATTATGTTCAGGTGACGTCTAATCGGTTATTTCTTGCCCCAAATAATTTGGGATTGGTTGAAATGAGCCTCAAAAAGTTCTATTGATCTGTATTTTTCGTTTTCGCATAGCTAAAACGTCTCTATGTTTTTCTTGCGCCAAATAATTTTGGATTGGTTGAAATGAGCCTTAAAAAGTTCTATTGATCTGAATTTTTCGTTTTTGCATAGCTGAACGGTTGGTATTCTAGATTTGTTCCAGAAAATGACGAATAACTTAAATTAAAAATGCATATTTCTACGTATTGTTTAGTATTTCCATTAAAAAACTAATTAAATTGAAAATTCATATAGAATTAAGAATACACATTTTAGCTCTAATTGAATACTTTGCTTACTTTTTTATGGCACCTTTCTACTACCGTTTTTGCAAAGGGCTATCACTTTTTCGCCTTTCTCCTACTTCCACAATACAAATCTAGATAAAGCAGTGCCAAATTTGAGCTGTCACAAATTACATAACCTTGTATTATTGAATTACGGTCAGTAGGTGCTGCAGTTTCCTGCCGTAGGTGTTCCAGTTTGTTCTCCAGTGATGCCTAAAAGGGATACTTTTAGATCTTCGTTCAGAAAAACTGAAAATACTTTTGGTGTTAGTACCAGGAAACTTCCAGTCGCGATATCAGAGAAGTGGAGACAAGGGTAATGTCAAAGTTCTCATACCCGCCCGGAGATTTTTCTGTAGCTCTTAATAAATACTAAACATTTATTATACTTTATTAATATACAAAAACTTATTTATACTTAAATATAAGACATCAAAAGTAGACCGCGAATCTAGTATCTAAATGTCAGGCAGAATAGGCGGGCAAGTGCAAACCAAATGTTTATCTCCATAGGCATCGTCAATTCGGCCAACAGTGGGCCAAATCTTTGAGTCTGGTTTAACAAATAACTGCAAAAAATAATAAAACTCAAGTCAACCTACAAATCCAACATAAATTATGCTCCTTACCGCTGGGAAAGCAGCCAGCTCGCGGGTATATGGCCTGCCCCATTTGTCTGAGATGACTTGCGCTTGCGTATGCGGCGCCATCTTCAGTGGATTCACCACTTTGTCCATACGTCCCTCCTCAATATCGACAATCTCTTCCCGTATCGAAATCATTGCATCGCAAAAGCGATCCAACTCTTCCTTGTCCTCTGACTCAGTAGGTTCAATCATCAAAGTGCCAGCCACCGGCCAAGACATAGTGGGTGCATGGAAACCATAGTCCATTAGACGCTTAGCAATGTCCACCGCCTCAATGTTGGCAGTTTTCTTCAGATCACGCAAATCGAGAATGAACTCGTGCGCCACAAGTCCGCTCGTTGATGATTTGTAAAGAGTTTTGTAGTGGTTTTCTAATCGCTTGGACATGTAGTTCGCATTAAGTATAGCTACTTGTGTGGCACGCTTAAGCCCACGACTACCCATAAGCTTGATATAGGACCATGAAATCGGTAGAATGGCCGAAGAACCGAAAGGCGCTGCAGAAACAACACCGAAACTTTCCTGTTCGCATTCCACCGGACTGATAACTGGATGTCCTGGTAAATAGGGCGCCAGGTGTGCTTTTACGCCGATTGGACCCATGCCGGGACCGCCACCGCCGTGAGGTATGCAGAAAGTCTTATGCAAATTCAAATGCGATACATCACTGCCATAATCGCCAGGGCGGCAGAGACCGACTTGGGCATTCATGTTAGCCCCATCCAAGTAAACCTGACCGCCGTGTTTGTGTATGAGCTCACATATATCAGCAACGGTTTCCTCAAACACTCCCATTGTGGATGGGTAGGTGATCATCAGGCAGGACAAATCACTATCATGCTCTGCTGCCTTGTCGCGCAAATGTGTCATATCAATGCTGCCGTCCGAGAGAATACGTATGGGTTCGACCTTCATACCAGCCATTTGCGCTGATGCCGGGTTGGTGCCATGCGCCGAGATAGGTATCAAACAAACGTTGCGGTGGCCCTCGTTGCGGTGTTCATGATACCTGCGAATGGCACGCAGACCAGCGTACTCGCCTTGTGCGCCGGAGTTGGGTTGGAATGAGATTTTGTCATAGCCCGTAATCTCGCAGAGATCCTTCTCGAGCTCGTTAAACATTTGGTGATAGCCCTTTGCTTGTTCGACGGGCGCGAACGGATGTATATCGGTGAAGTGACGGAATGAGCATGGAATCATTTCGGTAGTGGAATTTAGCTTCATGGTGCACGAGCCGAGCGGAATCATGGAGTGCACAAGCGAAATATCCTTATTCTCCAAACGCTTCATATAGCGCACCATACGAGACTCGCTGTGATGTGAACTAAAAATGGGATGCTGCAAAAAGGGGGACGTGCGCAGGAATTTCGAACGCTCAATGGAGCTTGAGAGTATATCGCGCTCTGCTAGTATCTCGTCCAATGACTTGCACTGGAAGACCCACAGCAGATCATTGACGTCACGCGCACCCACCGTCTCGTCTAGTGCCACGCTCACGCTGCCATCCGGGAAGTAGCGGAAGTTGATGCGCTTTTCCGCCGCGCGCAATTTGATTTCCTCGCTCGGCAAACTCTCTGATGGCGTTACATGCAAAGTATCGAAAAAATGTTTGTTATTTACTCGATGTCCGGCCATTTGCAATCCTGTTTGCAGTGCCAGTGTGAAGTGGTGTATGCGGTTTGCGATCTCCTTAAGACCTTCGGGTCCGTGGTATACAGCATACATGGCAGACATGTTGGCGAGCAGCGCTTGCGCGGTGCAAATGTTGCTGGTAGCCTTGTCGCGGCGTATGTGCTGCTCGCGGGTCTGTAAAGCCAAACGATAGGCATCGTTACCGTCGTTATCGCGCGTTACACCGATCATGCGTCCCGGCATCAGGCGCACCAAGTTTTGTTTGCAAGCAAAGAAGCCTGCATGCGGACCGCCATACCCGAGCGGTACGCCCAAACGTTGCGATGTGCCAATAGCGATATCGGCACCAAATTCAGCTGGCGGGCGGAGCAGTGTCAGCGCGAGCAGATCTGTGGCGACTACAATGAGTGTCTATAAAGCAGAAACATTAGAAGCAAAGAGAGGGCATCTGAAGAAGTTGGGCATCTGACTTCAGAGAGTGCATTACTTACACCATTTTTGCGCGCTTTCTCAGCAACATCCACAAAGTCCCTCACATCACCAAAAGTATCAGGATATTGTAACAAAATGCCAGATATTTCCCGCGCCGCCAAATCAGCATTCTCAATTGGACCAATTTCCGTTACGAACTCCAAAGCTTCGGCGCGTGTCTGCACCACAGACAAAGTTTGTGGATGCAACTTGTTCGAGAGATAAATCTTCTTGCGCTTGTTGTGTCTGCAATGAAAGGAATTCAAAAGATTTATACATATAATACAAATAAAGTAAGGCCTTTTTGAAGTTACTCGCTTCCTCATACTACCTCGTACACAGGCTCATAGCCTCTGCGGCGGCGGTGCCTTCATCCAGTAGCGAGGCGTTTGCCACATCCAATCCGGTCATTTCAGCAACCAGCGTTTGATAATTCAATAGCGATTCCAGGCGGCCTTGCGAGATTTCCGGTTGGTAGGGTGTGTACTGCGTAAACCAGCCGGGATTTTCAAAGACGTTGCGTACAATTGTATGCGGCACATGACAATTGTGGTAACCCATACCGATATATGAGCGCCAAATCTCATTGCGATTGGCGATCTCACGTATATGGCGCACTAGCTCGTGCTCATCTGGGCGAGCGGGGAAAGGGAAAAAAACATCAAACCCGATGTACATATGTATGTGTGAATTCTATGAGTTAGGTGAAGCTAATAAAAACCATCGCAGACCCGCCCACACTCACGACGGCCAGGACGTAATCTTGCGAAAGGGTTAGGCGAGATGCGCGAGTATTATGTAATACATACATGGATCAGTGAAGACTATGCATTTATAGCCGCTACAAAGTTGGCTATAATTTTTGGTCGCGTACACTAGGGGACCTGTCCGTACCTCTAAGAATAACCTAATAGAGCTCTAATTCAGTTATAACCACCATAGTTGAGTAGGTACTTACCAACACCCGGTAGCACCCAGGCTAGATTCCTATTCCGACCAACATCCAAGGAGTTGTTTCCTACTAACGACAGACAATGGCGAGCTTCTGAAGTTGAAGTAGCCAGACAACGATCCTTACGTCGGACCAGGTCCATGGCGAGCTTTAATGAATCTTTGGCCCTACCACAGGCTATCATTTTGGCTCTGAGCTCATCCGCAGCTATCGCAAAAGACGCTATTCGCCGGGTCGTGATCCTACTACTGGAGGTTACGGGGCGATTGCTGTTTGCGCTGCAATCCTGTCAGTTAATTTCAACTTTGGAAGAGGAAGGGGTCTTTGGACTTTCTGAGATAGGGTCTTTACGAACTGGGTGCCGAGATAGTTCGATCTTCCACTCAGCCGTCGATATCGACTTAGTTAGATCGACAAGACTTTCCGAAAAGGTGGGGAAAAAACTTGTATATAAGTTAACTAAATTCGACATTTCATACAGGTGGCAATCTCTTTAAAATATTTTCAAAATAAAATCTTATTCAATCTCTTTCGTCTGACACCGAAATTTTGATAAAAATTTCAGTTACTTAATTGTCTTAATTTAAGTTGAGTTGGATTTTTTAAACAGGTGACAACTCTCCTAAATATACGTATTTAAGAAGTAAAGCCTCGATTGATATCCATAAAAGTAGTTCAGAAATAAAGCCTTTTCAAAACCACTGCGATTGATACCAATATTTCAACAATTCATTTAGCTTATCAAATAATTTGCATTTAACGGGTGGCAACCCTCTGTAAACATCTCAAAAATATTTTAAATGATAAACCATAAAACCATGATACAAAAAAGAAGGTAGTTTCAATAAACAACTTTTTGATTAAAAAGCAGATTTTTGACAATTGCTCAATTGTGAAAAATTCGAAGTGGCGTTACCCAATTGTAAGTTTTTTGGTGTGGGAGATTTTTTATCCTAAATTTGGGATTATAAATAAAATAGTTGTGTTAATATTTACCTTTTAAAAATAATTAATATCTTATCTTAAAAATGTTTAAATTTTACATTAAATTCGATAACAACTTGCCAAATCATTATCATGAACATATTTTAAAATTTTTTTAGTGTCCTCATGTCATCTGATTATTTCACAATGTAGTTTTCTATATCGGATACGATGATTCTGATATAATTCAGACACTGAAATTATACATTTCGATGTGTTATTTAATACATATTGTCTTTGTCCATTTAACAGCAAATGGAATTTACTTTGGAACCTATGGGCCGTGAAATTTTTCCAGCAATACATATTGTTTTCACGTGAAATTTTTACACACCCAAAAGTGAAGTATAAAATAAATAGATAAAACAAATTTTCAATCAACCTGATTTGTGTAGTTCAGGGGCGCTTTTGGTAAATGTTCTGGAGGCTGTTTTAATATATACTATCTTATTATATATTTCTTAGCTTTTCTACATTCTGAGAAAATGAGAGAATGAAGTCTAATGTTCTTTTTTGGTCAACTATGACGTTTGATTTCATTTTTTGCAATCATTAGTTCATTTCCCTTGAGGAGTCACAATGCCCATACCGGCTATACCGATTTTTTTGAAATTTCGGACACAAATTTTCCAAGAATGGTTATAGGCTAAAACAAAACCGATATCTAAAGGGGGTGTGGAACCTCCCATACAAATCGAATTTTTCGTAGTGCATATCTATGAAAGTATTTATGGTAGAGTCCTGGAACTTGGTATGGATATATGTCACAGCGTGAACAGAATACTACTTTGCCGAGGAAATGTTATGGAATTTCACACTTATTTCACAGAAACAAATTTTATATGCACTTTAACAGCTTTTTCACGTGAAACAGGAATTAAATACTATGCTTAAGAACAAAGATTTTTAAATCGACAAAAAATTAATAAGAACATTTGAAGGATTTTAGATATTGGGTATGGTAGCACGAAATGTCACAATCTGCTTAATTGTCAGGTTGTTAATATGGCGACGAAAAAGTGACAATGGAACTACCTTTTTTTTTGTATCATGGATAAAACTATAGATTTCTTAACATTCTTTTGTTTGACATTTTTTAATATTCCATTGTGTATAAGTGAACTAAATTTGACTTTTCAAACTGGTAGTAACTATCTTCAAAATATTTCTAAACAACTACCTATATACCAGAGACCTGCACGAGTGATTCTGGCATCGTATGAGTATGAGTACTAGTAACCTTTTTATTAGTATCTACAGCGATGCTTTTTTGAAATCGTATAATCGCTCGCACGATGCCGATTCTGCCGATGCGACATCGTAGCATAAGATGATTACTATTTAGGCTTCGCCGGAAACGCGTCACGAGGGAAAAAAGTTAAGCGAAATGCAACAAATGCACATGTTTGAGTCATCGCCATTAATGAAATACATCAAAAAACGTAATAATTTAATTAATTGTGAAAACAACTTCTATTGAACTTTGTATTTATAGAGAATTGAGTGGACCACTTGCAAAGTGCGCTATGTAAAATTTTTTTCGTTTTTTAGTTTTTGGTGGGTAACGTACCAGTATTTCAAGTAGTTTCATGTCTACTAACAACGCAGTGCAAAATCTTTTTATATTCTCTTGCAAAATTCGCTTTCATACTTACTTATAATTTCTTAAAAGTCTCCGTCTTCTGATGAACTTAGAAATCTGCTTTAGGTCGTATAGACTGTTAATGTTATGTTATGTCATGTTGTGTTATGGTATAATGTTATTAGGCTCTTATTTATCAAAATTTTCAGGTTATAAAAAAAAGATTCAACTAAAAAGTTACTTGTTGTCGTTGTCGTTTTTTATTATTTATGGCTTTCTATTTTAAAATCACATAACGCTGTTTGCAAGTGGACTACTCAATTGCGTTGAGAACGTACATAAAATAAAATTGCATTCAAGCTTTAACTTTCTAAATCTGTTCTTATGTCCTATAAATTCCGACGTGCAGGAATTTGTAATTTGTTAAAAGGTTTTCCATACGTCACTGGAGCCTGTTGCTCCAGTCGCGAAATATTTTATTTAGCACTTTATAAAATTTTTCTTTCTAATGCTTACACTTTTCAATAAATTTTAAAGTTTTTCATTTTGACACATATTTCAAATCGAACATCCCTCATCGTAAACGTGTCATATGAAAATGATGATATGAAAAAAATATCCGCTTGCTGCTATTGCCTACGATGTCAAATTTAAATTCGACTAATCGCATCGTTTCTATTCATACTCGGCGATTATTAACTTTTACTTACTAGTGCAGATCTCTACTACATATTTGTATTATAAATTTTCGTAATGTTTTTCCAGCTATTTTTTTTTTATTTGTTTATAGAAAGCTTCAGCCAAACCATATAAATCACAGTTTCAAACTTTATACAAAAATTAGTAAAACCCAAAATTTTCCTTAAAAATTAAACTTATAAATCTGAATCATTAGAACATTTTTGAGTATGCAGTTTTATAGCACAAACAATTTTGGTCCGATGTAATGCAAGTTTCAAGCGGCCAAAAAATCGTGTTAATTATTAATATTTTTTTGGTGAAGGCTTTTGCGATGTTTTTATATACAAGTGCAATTTACGAAAACTGGCGTTGAGTTTTTAACATGTTTCTGCGAACGATCTACCGCATTTAATTTCATAAGAAATGCATGCTTGTATGCAAAAAAAGTAAAAAACTGTCAGCAAAAAAAAAAATATTTAAAATCAGTGCGTTTTTTTTATCCCTTTGAAGACTTAAAAGTTGAAATTTTGATGAAAATTTGTGATTTTTATGGTTTTGCTAAAAGCTCGGACAATATTTTCATAGAAAAATGACCAAAGATAATTTAAATCGAAAAATATTATGTATATTACAAAAAAAAATCGACACGTGATCACTTGTTTGAGTCAATTCGCAATTCTGCGAGGAAATTAATATACAGCATAAAACTCGTAAAAGTATAGCAAATATAACACATGCCGTCTTCACATTCGCTTAACAATAAAATCAAAATTGATAAGCGGCTTTGAACTCTAAACCCACGCGTCTAATTACGGCTGGAGTAAGCGCTATTATCAGGGTGATTGTATAAAATCACAGCAGGGGGTCCACTCAAAAATAAGTTTGCAAACAAGATAACGATATTACAGCAAAACAATGCCTATATGTATGTATGTACATTAGACTGCATCACCAAAACAAGTTGCGGTTTTTCCGCCGGGATTACAAAATTTATTATATTTTAAGACGTCCGTCCACCAAAATATTTCGGAGAAATATTAAGATTTAAGCGAGCTGGACCGATTTGAAAATACCTCCAAAAATGGAGTTTTTTATGAATAAAAATAGTTTCTTAAAGAACTTTTTGTAAAAAGTCCCCTCAGATGACAAAAAAAAAATAAGCATTAAAAATTCTGCATAAAAATATTTAAAAATCTTTTCAACGGAATCGTAATAATGAGATTTTTGATGCTGTTTTTTACTTTTTTCAAAGATTGATTTACGAAAAACTTAAATAACTGGGCCAAAACTATTCTGATTTAGACTTATAGGATCTCGGTAGAAAGGTATTTTCCCACTATTTTTATTTATGTACAAAAAAAGTCATTCGTGTCCCAATTTTTTTTTCAAATACCAACACATCTTAATTCAACTTTGAATGATATCCGTTCATCCTACCTTTCTCTTTCATCATTTGAACGAGTTTATTATCCAGAAATAAAAAGGGTGAGAAAGTACCTTTTCAATGATATCTCACAAGTCTAAATCGGGAGAGTATAGGTTCAGATATTAAAGTTTTTCTTATACCAATCCTTGAAAAAAGTTAAAAACAGCATCAAAAATCTCATTACTACGATTCCGTTCAAAAATATTTTTACGCAAATTTTATAAGCTTAAATCGTTTTGTCATTTGAGGGGATTTTTTCAAACAAAAATATTTAAGAAACCATCTTTGGAGGTATTTTCAAATTGGTCCAGCTCAATCTTAATATTTTTTCGATATATTTTGGTGGACGTCTTAAAATATAATAGATTTTATAATTCCAATGGAAAAACAGTACCGATATTTTTTTGTATGGGGAGTGATGCAGTCTAATGTACATAAATACATATTGATGTACGTATGCATACTAAGTAAATACATATGTACGTACATATGTATATACTACGTCCGTAGCTATTCGGATTCAGTGATAGCATTTACGTAGATTTCACGAAAAATGGATTTAGTGACGATGGTTTCAGTGATAGCCCTGATTATGTTAGGAGTAATACTCACTTAACGGTTTATCCAAGTTCAAATCTCGCTTCAGTTGTATGCGCTTGGGAACGGCCTTATTCGTAAGCTCCTCCAAGGACTAGTTGTAAGAAGAAACAGTGTTCTATGGTTATTCCTGATCTTCACCAACTTTTATGTTTATGTATATATATTGATGTATATATATGTACCTTAAAGTCTAGCGTATCCAACATTGACACCACATCCGTTTTACGCGGCCCTATATGACGGCTGGGAAAGTCAGATTTCGAGGGAAATAACACCTCACCCACTGGCACGGTCGCTAAGCAACGTGTTTGCATGAGTACACGTGGCACTTGCCATGATTTTATGGTTGTATGTGTGAGTGCGACAAGTTGGAGCGTAGATACGCGGCTTAAATGCTGCATTGTTACTCTGTTTTAATTAATATGTATGTATTTGTGTAGTTGGAAAATCACAAACGCTTAAGGTGAAATGTATGCATGTAATCACTTCTGTGTTGTAACGGCACTTTTAATTTCTACTTGGCACTTTTTTGATTTTATACAATACAACTTTTAGAAACAAAAACACTTCGACTTTCGCCAACAACTGGCCACGGACTGAATGAAATGAGCATCTTACTATCATGCCACGCAATGAGCTAAGCCGCGCTTTAGTGTGGATCTTCTTATCAGTAAGAATTGTGTGAAAATTTTATTTATGTAGATGCTAGACTTATCTCAAGTCGGCTGTGCATATGTGTTGGTTTGGTTTCTGATAATCCAGTCGGAATATTTGCAACCTGTTTACAAAAGTTTGTTTTACTCGAAACTCACTTATATTTATTAAAAGGTGGGGTGCAATAACACCATACGCAATAAGGCCATATGGTCTTATTTCCATTTTGTTTTGGAAATAAAACTATATGACGTTGTTTTCAATCCAGAAGTCATTCAAAATTGTACAAATGAATAACAAAATCACCGCTTCAACTAAAAAATGCATGTCTGGCCACACTATTTGTGGATCACAGGTTTTCTATTAATTGATCGTGGGCGTGTTTCTTTATTATTCAGACCGGATCTACCAAATAACTTCTATTTGTAGACTTCAGCAGGAAAAGTAATAGTTGCCTGTGCCCTTCTCTGAAATATCGCTCAATTTAAAGGTTGTCGAAAGAACCCCAAAAAACCGATAATCGCTGCAACAAAATAGCATATTTAAGTGTGGAGCTGTTAGTTTAAAACTATGGTCGGCATTGTTGTAATTTTCGTCGGTACAAATTTTTGTCGTACAATTTGGAAGGAAGTCCTTTATTGTTATGGATACGGCTCAATGTTTCTTCTTCCTAAAATCGGTTAGAGAATAATGCCAGTCCCATGTTCTGACTACCACACCCAACCAAAAAGTAATCTACCTGCTTCTACTTCCCCTGCGGTTTTAGTAAGAGATTTAGCTTAAGCGTTTTCAAATTTTAGCCAAAAAAATCAATTAGTTGCAATCGCTGTTAAACTATACTCACTTATACTACTCTAATTAAGAATGATTTTTATTAATTAAAGATAATAATTATTATTTTATGATTTTTATTTTTTCACTCAAAGGTAAGCATTATTATTGAGTCTTATTTTTTCACTTAAGAATAATGATTATTCAAAAAACTCAAAGGCTACATCTGCATGATTTCCGACGTATCGTTTTCGGAGGTTGCGACACCCTAATAAAAGGAATAAGTCTCAAAACTTTCAAGTCGAAACCTCAGTTGGTTGCGTCTGTATGGCCCGTTAAATTTTGTGGATAAGCATTGTGGTTGTTCACACTTGCCTGGTTATCAGGTTATGTGGTTATATTTTTCATTCAGTTTACAACAATAAAATACATTACACACTAATAATTTTTAACCAGATAACCTGATAACAAGGCAAGAATTATTATCTCTGAGTTTTTCACTCATAAAAATCATAAAATAATTATTTTCGTTGTGCGAAAAAATAAAACTCAATAATAATAACTACTTATTATTAAGCGAAAAAAATATAAATCATAAAATAATGATTAAATGCTGATTTAAATTATTTGACTCATAATGATTACCGTCCCTTGTTCGCAGCTTAGCTGTCCTGTGGCATATAGTGTAAATCGGACAGGGTGACTGGTTCATGCCTCCAGAGTTGTTCTTTCTCCTACATATTTTTTTTAGATTATTAACGAATCAAACAATTTTTGTTTTATTTTGATAATATTTGTTTAATGCGTTTTTATTGGCCTTGTTTATTGTTATCAATATTCTTCGATAATGAATAAATATACAATATTCATAAACTATAGTATCGTAAATATAGTCATCTAATACATACATATATATTTTAATGCACTTATATAATAATACATTTAATAAATATAATAAGTACATTTATATAATCATAAATAGAAATTAACATATTCATGAAAAATTGATACAAATAAAAAAAAAATATTAAGATTAAGATTAATTAAATTAAATTTCATATGCTAATATTTTTTCTAGCTCGCATAGTTTTAACGTTTTATAGCCATTCGTTTTAAAAAATCATATAATCAACTTAAAAAATAGTCGTTACACATGCATTTGTATACATACATATGTACATATATCATTTGGTTGTAAATATAATTTTCTGTCGCAATTTAACTAAAAAAATTGTTCGTGTACATTTAATATACCTACATACTTGCATTGCTCTATTACGCATACGTTCAAAATGTTATTGTATATAATAAAATTTCTTTTTGCAAAAACATAGTACATGCTTGAAAAGTAGATACCTTGTTTTTTTAATTATCATTTTCATTTACATTTTCCTTTTCTATTTTGTTGTTTTTTTTTATAATTCTTGATCTATTTTTCTTCTATTTTATATTTGTTACTCCAACAAAGCCATTGCATTTTGCTTAATTAAACTCTTGATTAAATATTCTTCTTTAACAACTGTAATTATACATAAATGGAGACTAATACGTAAATTTTCCATATTTATTTATTTTTTTCAAAAAATTTAACTAATATTACAAAAACAGACATGCATTTATGTATATATGTACTAAAGCAATATAAATGAATGCCTTTTATTGCAATGTTTATTTTGACATTTTTTTTTTTTTAATTTTTTACATACAAATATTGAAATTCAGTCATTAACATTTAATTTTGTTTATAACAATTATCTTAAATTGAACTCTGTTTCTCCGTTGTTTTTTTAAATATTTGAAAAATTAAATGAGAAAAACATTTTTTAATTGAGGAAGTTACAATTCGCTGAAAATATTTTTAGACATACATATACATAGTTATGCAGAGCAGATAATCTATTGATCAGCATTGGGAAGATGCTTTATTTAAAATTTAAAGGAATAGAATATATTTTTATGGAGTAAGTTCGTAACTTTTTTGATACAGCAATGGTTTTTTTTTTGATCCAGTTTTTATTTTCTTAAAGTTAAATATTTATGTAGTCCTAAGTTCGTGTTAGTGGAGTAAATATGTTTGTATGCATGTGGTATCAGATGCATATACTAATATGAGGTATGTTGCGATTGGTGCTACTCTCCGCCAAGTCCAGCTCATTTTCAGGTTCAATTTGCGAAATTAAGTGATTTTGGTAAAATTCGAAGCGTTAAATACGAGCAGTTTTTAGTTTAGCAGAGCATTCCAGACGTATTTATGTATGTTTGTTTGTATGTTATAATTGAGCTAAATAGGTATGTGGGTGCTGAGGTGCTAAGGTGCATTTGGGCATATGTAAGTATGTATGTACTGTTATTTATAAGTATATAGTGGTATACAATATGCATTTAGGAAAAGGGTGCTTCGATTAAATAGTTCGCATTATAATAACTCCAAAAGTAAATTTATTTGCTACCAACTTGTAGATAAAAGTTAAATATTTAGTTGCATAATAGTAGTAGTATGTTTGTATTTATGTAGGTATCATTGCTATAAATATGCACTTATACAGCGTTGCAGGGTTCCAACTTCCTAATTGTAATTGTAATTTGGTTTACTATTTATTTGTAAATGAAGTGAAGAAGTAGATTTTAATAAATATGTATGGATTTATGTTTTCGTTGCATGACGTATACTATTTATACACACATATGGTTTATTGTAAAATTGGATTTCAAAAATCAAATTAGGATCGAAAAATGGTGAGCTGACGATTTTTTGCATAACGAATAATTCTCTTTGAATACTGCGCGGCTAGTCGCAAGGAATGTAAAACTTAAGATTTGCGGAACTGAAGTGGTTGTGGAAAGGCTGCCAGCTTGAAAACAAGTGTAGCAGGCCCGTCGCATGGGGTGCTATGGCATTTAGTTCTCTCGGGCCCGTCGGCCAGAGTCGAAATATGAAACCTTTCGCAGAGCATATTGCTGATCTCAAGAGATCCCTTGAAGCTATTGAAATATTGAACATTACCGCTCAAATAAGATGCGATGTGAAGAGCTATTAGAGAGCAATATACATGGAATCGTTTGAGTATATGTATTTAGTTGGATTTTATTAGGCTTAAAACTCTGACTCCAATTAATTATACAGAACTCAAAAAAAAAAAAAATAAATAAATCGATGAAGGGTTCTTTCAACCAAACTTGGTGTTTCATTTGTTTTTGGGGTCGCTGAACACGAATCGAAAGACTTTTTTGCTCCATCAGGATTTTTACCTAATCTCAAAAAACGCCCTGTCATCTTCCCTCGGGCCCAAAGCAGCTCTCCAAGGCCTGCTCACGGAAAGAGTCATTTTAGGGGCCCAAACTAACTATATGATTTAAAATATTTTCACTGAGTATCAAACCCCAAGAGGATTTTGCTACATTTCACAAATTTTTTTTTTGTTTTAAGGAGGGTTAAAGTTTTATTTTTATAAGAAGGTAGCTAGCTACATAGTATATATGTATTGTTTTTCATGAAATATTATGTATTTACTCTTTTCCCTTAATACCATTGCATTTTGCTGGACTTCGTTTTTGGATGACCCATGGTAGCATAATATTCTTGTGCAATATTTAACCCTCTAAAGAGCCTCTCAGGCGTGGAAATGCAATACATTTCGAAAAGGCTGTGAAATTAAGAAATTTCAGAAAGCAGTTGCATAAGCAGTCACACCTTGCATGTAAAGTGTCTTTAAAAAGAGTTTTTTTTTTTTTATTTCCGAAAAGCGTATTGCAGATTGCCAGTGCCACACACGAGCAAGTTGAAATATATTTCCGAAATCGATTTGCGCTCTCTCAATTACAGTCATATCTTGCAACTTTGATTTCTGAAACTGATTTCCGAAATGTGACATAAAGGTATTTTTGGCTGTTCACACATCTAAATAAAGTTTCTCTTTCTCAATTTGACAGCGAATTGTGTGGAAAAGTTGGAAATATTGCCACTGCCGTTTTTCAAAAGTGCGCCAAAAAGACCCGCTTCGGTAGGCGTTAGAGAGTTAAAAAGTTCTATGAAAAATGTATTTACTAAATAATTATGTTTGACGTCGTTTTAAAATGGTATAGCGATGTGTGTGGATACTAACGCTTGGGCAAGTTTGATTTAGGTCCAAAAATAGTTTAAAAAAGTTTACCACAACCTCCGCAGTTCTGCAAATCAAGTTTTACACTCCCTGCGGCTGACCTTACAGTATCCAAAAAGAACTGACCACCATGAAAGCATCGTGAGTTTCTCCTTATTTGACTGTACTAATATCGTAAATACAATAAATTGTTGGCCTTTACTTTAAGTAAACAAAAAAAAAATAATCGAAGATTCTTAGTAGAATTGATTCAATGCTTTAAAAGCAAAGCTCGCGTGACGCTGCCTTCTAAGATTTCTTTTTAAACAGTGAAAAGTTTTTTCTCCATACAAGTCCCGCTTTAAGTTTAATTTGATAGTAAACATTTTGTAACCGATAAACGAAGTTACCGGCCACTTTTACAAACATTTCAATGTATGGTGTGTTTTCGGGTATTGTATCCTAAAGTTCATGCCTTAATTTAGACCTATGTGAAAGATTCCATCCCTTTTTTTCATCGCTAGAGCTTCTCAAAAAATCCAAAAACGTGATTTTTTGACACTTTGGCCATTTTTTTTTTCTCAAATTCTATTCGCTCCTACGGATTCGTTGTCAGCGCATAGAAGTCTATCAATATTAGCATTAAAATTTGCGCCGGAAATTTGGTTTCTATTTTGATGCCTTGTGTAATCTGTAACTAAGCAATTTCAAATTCTCTCTTCTCCAGTAACAAGGCCTGTATTCTATCGAGAATTCATGATCCAGCGATTAAGGGGAGATTGATCTAATCATAACTAAAAACACAATTTTTTAAATTCTTAAGTTAAAAAAAAAAATTCCCAAAATTTTGGAAAAAAGTTCTGCAAGTATGGTCTAAGTCAGTACATATTTAGAGGATTTTTTCTCGATTCCTCGCGCGACATAGGCCATTTTTAATACTTTCTGAGGGATTAAAATCTTTTATTTCTTTAGAGTCTGGTAACTCTTCTGGGGCAGATATTGAACGGAGCTAGTACTTAAAACATTCCAGGTGATTCTCTAATTAAGTGTACGGTGGCCAATTTCGAACAAAATACCATTTTTATACAATTGGGTGAGGTACTTCTGGACTTTGCGCCACATTAAAAACAGTTTATCAGCTTTCAGAGAATGCCTTGGCATCATCAGAGCAGTTTATGCCTTCCTTAATACACTCAAAAAACGCCAACGTTAGGGGGCAACCAAATGACTCTGATAAAATTCCAAATACAATCACTTTGAGGAAATTGAATCTTCCAAGATGTGTATCGAAAGCTGCAAACGTTTTTAATAACCTGTTTCCGTTGGTCCACAAGACCTGGGATGAAATTCTAAATGATGAAAAATATGCTAAAATTTTGAAAAATGCTATCGATGTTGAAATTGTTATAAGCTTGCATTATGTGCAAGCTCCAAATCTCCTCATGGCACGGAGCTATCTACGATAGTGAAATATGCTACAAAAAGCTCAAAAATAACAACATTGTCAACGATATTTAGTACGTTCCAGAACGTCCAGGATTTGTAGGATTTAGTTCAAAATCGTTCCCTCGTCCAAAAATTCTGTACACTGAGAAAAGAGTTTAGTTACATCAACTAAATATGTTTTTCTCAACACATGATTTGGTTATAGTTACATTATTTGTTTATAGTTACCAAATCATGTGTTGAGAGAAATATATTTGCCTGACTTTTTTCTGAGTGTATCTGAGAACACTCTCGTCAGGGTAACAGAGCAACTGTTTCCAGAATGAAGTTTTAGGATTTAGTCCGGAGTTTTTCTTCTGGCAAATTCATGAAAAGTGTCAAACTATAAGCAGGGCTGCATTTGCCAACAAAAACAAAACGCTAAGCTAAAACAGTAAAACAGTAAACAACGAAATATTTGAAGACGTAAGTACTTATTCTTAATTGAATAGATTTTAATAATTGCTTAATGACCTTTCAGTTAAATCAGCAGTGTATGCACTAGTTAGGGTGATTGACCCGGTTTTTCCAAACCGGTTTCCACCGCTTTTTTTCGTTGATATTTATAGGCGTTTTTTTTAATCTACACTACACTGAGAAAAGAGTTTAGTTACGTCAACTAAATATGTTTTTCTCAACACATGATTTAGTTATAGTCACATTATTTGGTTATAGTTACCAAATCATGTGTTGGTAGAAATATATTTGGCTGACTTTTTTCTGAGTGTACTCAAATCTGATAAAGGCTGCAAAAATGCAGTAAAGTATTAAAACAAAAAATAGAATATGACGAAATGTGAAGTTTTCCTGATTTTTATTTGTTTCGCTTTTAATCTAAAAAAAAACTTTGAACTTATTTTGCTTTACTCCTTTCTAAATAAAAGCTATATTTAATGTTAATAGTCTTATTGTAATTTTTAGTCATGACATCATACTAACATAAGCATTTTCATTGTATGAAAACTACATATGTAAAATAAAACCGTTTTATCTGGGTTTTTATTAATAGGTAACCGTTTTTTTTTCAAATTGAAATTTTTCGCATAACTAGAAACCGGGTTTGGAAAAAGGCGAATAATCGAACACCCTGTTATTGATGACATGTAGACAAACCTACTGACGTTTTTGCTGGAAAAGTGCTGTCTGCGTTCCCGTACACAGTTGTAGTTGCGCTCCCGTAACTCCAACTTGAGAGAACAAAATAGTTTGACAGTTCCGCAGGTTTTAAAGTCTGATTAGGGCAACTTAATTTAACATAATTTAAAACAAAGAAAATCATATTGGAATAGACTTCCGACGTGGCATTAAGTTACGTTAAGTTCCTCCTGTTAAGTGACAGCCTCGAAGTTACTTTAAATTGCCATGATCAGACTTTTAGTCCGAACAGACTAATTGTCCCTTCAAATATGCAATGCCAGTATTTCTTCAAAAAACTCAATGGCTGAATAACTAAATACATTGACAGGGTTCTGTGCCCACGCATGCACCTACATAAGCAGTTAGAAGGAGTGGTAGTTATTTATGGCAATCAAATTTCGCGGTTAAAAATTTTCGCTAGTGTGCAGATCTCTCAATATTTTCGAAGCACAATATGCATAACACTTCTCTTCATTGAACTATTTATTTATAAATAATATAGTTGGAATACAATGTCTTTCACACTACAGTATAATCACGTATGTATGTATGTACATATGTATAACTACTTTTGTGTAAATATAGTTCTATCTTATTTTGCTCTTTTGCTTGCTAAAAACTTGTTAACAGTACTCAACTCAACTACAAACGCACAGCATTGCTTTCTTAATCATCATCACTACACTCACTCTTTGTTTTTTTTTTTTTTTCGTATTTAGGCAGCACGGTTGCATCTTCTACTACTACTTGGTATGTGTATGAATGTTTTACACTTTTCACTTCTTATTTGGAGCTAAACCCTCTGTTGTATTGCTGTTGTTGTAACTCAAGTGGCTGTTGTTGCTACTAAAGTTGTTGTTGTTTAAATTACTAGTGTACAGGCCAAATGTGGAGAGCGCCGTCCCATCAGAAGATTGTCGCATTGTTAGAGCCATATTCAGGGGTGTATTAAAGAGGCCGCTGCCCCCAACGCCACCACCACTCGTTGTGTTGTACGACAACAGTGTTGCAGACGTATTATTTGGGTAGAAATTATTGGTATTTTCATTGCCATGCGTTGTTGGTTTTGTAATTGTTGTCAGGCTATTAAAATTATAAGTAGTAGTTGTTGTCATTGTCATGGGGTTGGTACTAAAAGCACTAATTGCTGTTGTTGTTGCTATTTGGGATGGTATTGTTGTTACTGGTACTGTTGCTAATCTGTCAAAACCTGTGAAACTGTTGTTGATGTTCAAGTTTGTTGTTAATGTAGTTGTAGCAGTATTGGTGATGTTGGTAGTGGAGAAGTAGTTGTTAGTTGTTGTAATACTTGTTGTTATAGAGGTGATTTTGGTAGTGTTGTTTGTTATATTTTCACTCAAGCCAATTCCATAATTAGTCGAAGTCGTAGTCGGAAACGAAAACCGATTGCTTGTTAGCGTCTCTGTCGACGTCGATGTACCGGTCGTACTTGTTGTTGTTGTTGCTGTTGCGGCTATAGGTGTTGTTGTATTATGGGTCAAATGCCCTAGCCCAGCTGCAGTTATAGAATTAGATTTGATTTGCATGAGTATATTATCACAACTGCGTATGCGTAAGTCCATTTTAGAAGCCTCGGCTACCAATGGAAACCGCGTCGGCATGTCTAATTGGTACGAGTATATGCTTGAATTACCTGTAGGTGTTTTGGCCGAATCTAGTGTAGCGGTACTAAAGGTGGTTGTGGTGGTGTTTGTGTTAGTATCGAATTTCAAGGGATTCAAGGATTGGTTGGTGTGGGTGTTATTGGTGGTCATGGCGCTTCTTTGAATGTTGGGAGAGCTTGTAGCGCCAGCACCACTTTCCAATCGTAATGCTGCCAAAGTCGTTGTTGGTGATTTGTCATGGTAGTAAGTTTTGGTGCTTGCACTCATCAAATCAACATAACTTTTCGACGTAACCGATGGCGAAACGATAGGCGAACGACTAGAAGGTCGCGAAAATTTTCGTTCAATCTCCTTTTCCGCCAATAAGCGATCATAAAACGTTGACGTAACTGTCGTATGACGTATATCTAGGCGCCCGGGCACATAGACGGGCGTATTAGAGCGTTTCAGCGAATCGTAGTCGAGTAGAGTGTCTGTTGTGTTATGACGGTATGCGGGCACGTATGGTCTATTCAAATCCAATTCGTAACATTTATTTTTCATTGTTTTTAGATTGTACCGGTCGTTGTCGTCGCAGTTGATGTTGGTGTTGTTGTGTCGTGTGTTGGCATTGGTGCTTTCCGTCTTCATCATCATCATCTCCCTCGATCCATACGGCGATCTCAACGGCGATCTGGAGGCCGATCGTGAACTAGATCTGTCTCTTTCATCACATTTGTAAGTGTCTAGTTGTCTATCTACTTTATGAAACTTAATTAAACTACCACTACTTACATCTCTAAGGCTATCATATAAAGAATAATTTGGCAACATATTTTCTCGTCTTACCCTACTCTGGTACTCTTCACGCTCTTCTTCGTGCCGCCGGCGTGGTGAGATTTCACGACGTAAGTCCCGATTTGAACGATGATGCAATGGACTGGCAGCGCGCAATGGACTTGTCGAACGTATAGATTCTGCCGAACCCAAAGAACGACCGTATAAATAGTCTGCGTGTCGTTGGCTATGATCTGAGATGCGTATGGAGGGGCCAAGTTCACGATGTGCACGACTATCTGAGCGCGAGAGATCCTCCAGCGAGGTCTTCTTGCTGGCAAAATGTATTGAGTCGGAAAATAGTGAATCAATGTAGCGCTGGCAGCGCTCTTTTCGATACGGTTTCTCCTCGCAGAGTGTGTCGATGGACTTGATCGTATTTTTAATGGAATCCAAGCGTTCGTTAATGTTGTCATTGGTACGCAGGGGTACGCCAGTATGGCTGCCAGTACGCTGTAGTGGTGAAGTCTCCTAAAAAGAGAATGAGTTGAGTTAAGTAGCTGAGTGATTTATGGATGTGGCTATATATATATGGACTATAACACACCCTCATTAGTCGACTGCCCAACTCGTCAAGTCCCTCGGACGTAAGCGCCGCATTTATACTGCTACACGAATCTGTAAGAGTCTGCTTAAGAATACGTTGAAGGTATTTAGAATTTTCTTCAATTATTCCTAAAGCACCAACAGTGCCCACCGTGCGTCCAATGTTATCCCGTGTATCCGTGCGTGATTTTGGTCTTAACGGCATGCTCGTAACATAATCGTCTTCTTCATCACGGAAGCGTATGGCCTTAGGACTGGTTGATCTGTATTGCCCGTCGTCATAGTTGCTGGCAGAGTCGCGCAAGGCAGATTTTGGTGTGATCGAACGGTTTGTCTCGCTGCGTCTGGGGCTTTCCTCACGCGATTTGGAAGTTTTAAACTCTTCGAAAGAAAGCGATGGAGATACGGCATCCTTTAGCTTCTGATTGAACTCCTGATAAGTTTTCTGCATTTTGAAGTCGAAGCAATGTTCCTCTTCCAAAGCGCGCATACGTGCCTCCAACTCCTCAGCTGTGGGTAACTCTTTTTTGGTTGGCGACGCGACAAGCGTTTCTAAACTGTGTATGGGCGCTTTTGGCCGCTGTTCTTCTGCTAATTTCCTATTCTTTATGTCTTCAATTGTCGGCGAACGGGAGCGTGATTGTCGCGAAGGCGAAGGTGTCTTCCTTTTATCATCCAACACTCTTATTCTATGCTCCAGTTCGCCAGTTGTGGGTATAGCATCCTCATCGGAGCTGGGGTCGAGTAGCATTTCTAGTGGATGTATTAGTGACTTTTTCGAATCGACGTTATTCTTTTTTGATTTGCCAGTCAACGATTCCTTCGACTTAGATCTTGGAAGTTCCAATGCGCGAAAACGGTACTCCAGATCTTCAGTCGTTGGTATATTTGGATCCTCATATCGAACGTGTCCAGGCGTGCCATGTCTTTTTGGGCTCTTAGATGTTACTTGGCCATCATCATATCGAACACGTCCAGGTGAGGTATGCCTTTTGGGACTGCGAGACTCGCGTGGTGTGCGCACCGGGGACGTGTGCGGTGTCTTCTCTTTTGCACGCGATGGTGAGGTGTACGGGGATCTGCTGTGCTTTGGCGTAGGTGTTCTGGCAGCGCTACCCTCTTCCGGTTGATATCTATCACGTGCGGCCGTTATAGCTTCGGGTAGCTCATCTAAGCTCTTACCTTCACAAAGTTCTAGAAATTTTGTGAGGTCTTTCTCGTGCGACAGCGAATATTGCATTTTGATTTTGCGCTCAATTTCATTCAAGCGTTGTTCGACGTCGATTTTCTCAACATCTTCTAGCAGTTTTATTTGACGTTCTAGTGATCTGAAGCGTGCTTCTAGTTCTTTGGTTGATGGCAGATGTACAGTTTTGCGTTTTAAGTGCCGCTTTACAGGATCTGGACCCCAATCGTAGTCTTCAACTGGCGTTTTTGACTTTTCGACAGCGCTTTCCTTTTTTGTTTCTTTCTCTTTCGCCGATTGATCTACTTTTGTGAAATCTTCAATCTCTTTCGACAGTTGTGCTAATGCTTTCGACTCTTCTGATGGTTCATCTGGCTTATCTGCGGCACGCACTAGCTTGCCGTCTTCCGATTTTATCAGATTGCGATCACTTAATTGCTTTTCGAGCGCTTGAAATAGGTTCTCCAATTCTTCGGTGTTTGCGCGTGTCAGTCGTCGTACTTTTACAGCTTTCGGTTCGTTGTCGAGCAGCAGCACGAGCGTTTTATTGTTGGGATCAGACGATCCAACTTGAATGGCAGTTTGCGTAGGAGCAACCGACGTTTCAGCTGCTTGTTGGTTTTCAGCAGCTGTCGTCAACTCTTTGCTTCCATCCTGCTTTTCCTTGCTAGGTTCATTTTCCTTCGCTGAATCCTCGTCTATATTCTTATTTTGTTTTGTGTCTTCTAATTGTTCCGATTGCATTGGTGATTTCTTAGTTGTAACGTCGTCTTCATTTGAGCATATAGTCTTCTCGTTACTTTCTGTCTTCTCGTTGACGACTTCATCCATTTTTGGGGGACTATCGCTTTTAGCTTTCACTTCACAAACTTCCTTATTTACAGCGATTTCTTTATTTGAGCGCGCAATTTGCTGATTCTCAAGAGTTTTTTCAGCTTTTAAAGCCTCAGCGTTTGTTATACTTTTCTCTTTCTCTTCTGGTTCCATACTCACAGTATCTATAACTTTGTTATCACTTTTACATTCCTCGTTTATCGCCTCCTTCACAACCTTGTCTATTTCTGGCGTTTCTCTAATCCCTTCATTGTCTTCCCTCTTTGCATCTGGCAGTTCTCTTATCGCCTCGTTGCTTTCAATTTCCTTGGCTACGGATTCCTCCGTTTTTTCTTCAGACTTCTTCAATTCCTGCACTTCATCTTGGCAATTTTGCTGCTCAACAATACTGCCCTCTCGGCGTGATCTAGACATTTTTAGTTGCTGCTCCAGCACCTCGAGTCGTTTTTCCAATTCCGCGGCGGTCGGCAGTTTATCTTTGGGCTTATTTTCTTCATCCTCGTTTCTTTTGAGCAGCATTTTGATATTAATACTGATATTTATTGGCTTAAGTGAGCCTGGTTCTTCAAGTTCGCCAACGTAACGCACGAGCTCTTTTCCTGTCGCATCAACGGTCTCCGAGCTAAGCCGTCGCGGTGAGCTGGACTCAGCAGCAGCTTCCTGATCCCTCACACGCACAGCCTCCAGCAATTTAAGACTATTTTCGCTGAGCTGCTTTTCCAACGCAAGTACACGTTTTTCCAAATCTTCTGCTGCTTGCTGTTGGCTGCGTGCCGACGTACTGGGCGCTTCGTTGTCGGCGGATTGACTTTTTACATCCAAAAAATGTTTTCTCGATGCCACTTCGGAATCACTTGCACAGCGCTGCTTGTAGAATTTTATGATCAATTGTCTTTCCAAAAAGTGTAAGCGATTTTCAAGATCAGCTCTTGATGGTAAATCGGAGAAACGACGAACCATTTTGTGTGGCTGACTGTACCAGGGTTCGTAATTTTCCGATCTAAAGAAAGCGGTGTTTGCATGTGCTTCCGAGGTTCCATCGAATGTTGTTGTTCGCTGACGTTCGGGTGTTGTGCGGCGATTTGGGTTGATGTCGCTTGGTTTTAGGTTTTCACCATTTGGTTGCACCTTGATTTTGCTCTGAAACTCTTCAATAAGCGCGCGATGCTGTTCGTCGTTTAGAAAAGGCTCTACAGTATCTCTCAAAGGCATTGGTGGGGCAACAGGAATTCGAGGGGTGCTTGCTTCCGAATGCGCTTCGTTCGGTTGCGGTTTTTGTTGGATATTCTTAGATATTTCCTGCGCAGCTGTGTTTTCGGCGCGCTTTGTTGTTTTTGCCTCTACAATTTCTCTATCATTCGCCGCTCGCGCTTTCCTTTCTTGTTGGCTATTGCCGTCTTGTGCTTTCTGCTCGCTGGATCGCCTCTGCAATGCTTCATATCGGCTCTCAAGGTCCTCAGTGCTTGGTGGGCCTGAAGGTTTGATTTTAGCTTGCATTTTCGTATCGTTTGTGACTGGAGTTTCTTCAGTTGATTCCTCCTCAAAAGCAGTCCTGCTTTTATCTTTGGCACCAAATCCTTTTTCAATGATAGTTTTTGTGCTCATTCGACGTTTGAGGGATTCATAACGTTTTTCTAAGTCTTCTGTGGAAGGTGGTTCGGATGCGCGTCTTTTGCATGTAATGTTCGAGTCGTCTACGCGTTCTACAGCTTTGTGCTGCGCAACTTCCTTTTTAGCTGATTTTGCTAGCTCTGTATTGATTTCAATACATTTTTTATTGAAAATCTCAACCAAATTGGGATCAGGTGCGGTTGCATCGCCTGTTGTTGTTGGTGCTGTTTTTTCAAGTTCTGACTCAATTTTCTGAGATAGTTCTTTGTTCACTTGCCTGCATTTGTCCTCGAAGCTTTTCATGGCTTTAGCGCTCGTTTCTGGTTTTGTTTCTACCATTTGACTGCGATTTTCAGATGACGATGAAGTTCTTCTTTCCTTGTCTGCCTTTGCTTGAATCTTTTCAGATTCTGGTAAGCTTTTATTCACTTTTCTACCCTCTAGGCTCGCGCTGCTCATTTGTTTTTCTAAAGCTTTGAATCGTTTCTCAAGTTCTTCAGTACTTGGTGGTGATTTCTTTCCGGAGTTTTTCGAATCGTCTCCATTTCTTTCGCGGGTAGCCTCCCTTTCTTCGTGCTCCTTTTCAGCGTGCTTTGACTTGAGTTCTTTGTTGTTTTCCGTTTCTTTATTTTGCGATGCTTTTGTTGCACTATCTTCATCGCGCTTTTCGACGTTAGGTTTTTGTGCTTTCACGCTTTTCTTTTCCACATCTTCTCGTTTGTGCTCAGTTTGCTCTTTGTCTTTCTTCACTTCCTTCTTGGTCGTATCTTCTTTTGCTCTGTCGTCCCCTTTGCTTGGTGTTTTTGTAGTACTAGTTTTAGCTTCTACTGCACTATCTTTTTCGACTTGAGACTCCTTTTTGCCTTTTGGTGAAACTTTTTCTTTGACGATTTCTTCCACTTTATTTACTTTGCTATCTGCTTTACTGGCCGTGCCCTTTGGCGAAACGTTCTCTATGGCTACTTCTTCTACTTTATTTGGCTCGCTATCGTTTTTACCGACCGTTTCTTTCTTGGCTTGAATATTAACCTCATTTTCGCTCGCATTTTCATCAGACGGCTCCTTTTTGGTATTAATTTCTTTAGCCTCTACTTCGTCGGGCGGCTCCTTTTTTGTTTTGCTGGGGCTGGCTTTCTGTGCGCTCATTCTTCTTTCTAGCGCATTAAATCGATCTTCTAGTTCGGCAGTTGATGGCAGCTTCTTAATGCGGGGTTTGTCGTTTTCTCCAGCATCTCCCTCTGATGCTTCTTCTGTTTCAATATCACTCTTGAGCGTAGTCTTACTTTCACCTTTCTCTAAGTGCGGCTTGTTGCTTTCGGTAGGCGTATTAGGTGGAGTTTCCAGATCTTTTTTGCCGGCGCCGTTTTCGTCTCGTCGCATGTCCATTGAGCTCTTAGTTGGTAAACCATTTGAACTTAATTGTCTCTCCAAAGCACTGAAGCGATCTTCTAGCTCTGAAGTTGAAGGAATACGATTGCGTGCTTGTTTTGATATTGTGGGCTCACGATGCTCCCCAGAGGGTACAACGTCTGGTATATTGTTTCTTATGTCTGAAGTATGTGTTTTAGCGGGTACGTTTTCTTTGGCAGATCCCTCAAAGGAGTTTTTGTTTAACGTTTTTTCGTGTCTTGATTCTGTAAATTGTCTGTTAATTAGTAATGTAGTTTCGTGATTAGAAATATCTCTACATTCGCTACTTTCAGCAAACCTTTTTCTCTCATCCCCTTCCTTACTCATTTGCTTTTCAAGTGAAGTTAACCTCTGTTCTAGATCAGCTGTTGACGGTACTATTCTTTTAAGCGCTTCATCGGATGTGTCATCATTATTTATCTTCTCTTTATCGCTAACAAATGTTTCCTCACTCATTCTGCGTTCCAGTGCCTGGAAGCGTTCTTCAATTTCTATAGTGGAAGAACGTGTGAGAGTCAAGCGTCTAGGATCTCGCCGTTTTCTGCAGGCATTACTCATAGTGCCCGATTTTTTTGTCGTCGCTGCTTTAATATTATTTGTATTTGGTTTAGGAATCGCTGTTTTCAAAAGGTTCTCCTCAAACCGTTCAACAGCTTTACCAGGAATGTTACTGTCTCTTGTTGCGGGCATAGATATCTCCACCTCGGCATCCTTTTGCTTAGCAAGCACTCCACTGGTGAAATCTGTAGCATCAGTTGCATCTTTAGTCTTGTCTTGTCTCAGATTCGTGGACACCTCATTGGTTGCCGCTGCAATGAAGGCTGCAGATGACTTTTCAGAATAGTCAATTAGCAGTTCCATGCGTCTGTCAGAACTTTTGTCCGATACTTCAAATTTATTGGTATTCTCTTCATGGCCGTTGTCTTCACACAACTTTTCAAAGGCGTTGTTTGTGCTATGATCAGTGCGACAACTTTCTTCGCGCTTCTCTAGTTCAACGTCTGCTTCCTCAGCCCTTCGTATTCCATCTTCTTCGTTGAGCGAATAAAACAAGTCTAACTTTGTGGGTCTTTCTACGCTATTAACGCGCTCGAAATATTCATTTGTCACACCGTCATCATTGACAGCAAACTTTTTACCCTCCTCTCCGTCATCTCCACTGCCAAGCGAATTGGTTGAGTCGAGGAAGAGTGGTTTCGGCATAGGTAATGGACTGATACTTGAGCTATTGAGATAGGCAGCTATGTCTGGCATAGGAGAAAGTTGACTTGTGCTTGTTATCACAGGTAACTCCAATACATCCGTTTGAATATGCAGTGCATCTAGGTTCGTCGTAGCCAGATCTCCTGCAATGGTGGAGAACTTTGAGTCAGGCCAGTTTAACGTCGAGGCACCCTTATAGCCGAGTCGATCACATTCGGTTGTGCTATCCTCCTCCTCTTTCATCAATTCCTCAAAATGATGTGAACGTGCCGATTTTTCATCATCAGCGCTGTGAGTTGGCGAATCTGAAGTCATAAGCATAAAAGGAATTTCTGTAGATGAGGGCGCCCACGATTTGGGGCGCCTGCGCTCCTTTTCGCTCTCAATGGGCTCGTTCAATGTTTCCAATTTCGCTGCGAGCTCTCTAGCCTTGCGTGCAGACTTAGATCTACGTTTGGGACTGTTCTCAATAGATGAAGAATGCGTTTTATCACCACCAGAATTTGGATCATCGTCATCGCAGAGACTCGTATCAGTACTCGAACCATCGTCTGGCTCATCTTCACTTTCTTCGCTGTACGACGACGAATCGCTTTTGCCAACGCGTGTGCGAAGTTTTTGTGTCTTCGGCACAGCTTCCACATCCGCGCGCAACAAACTGGCACGATCGGCCTTAATCTCCTTCCATGTAAGGCTATCTCTACGACGTTTACTTATATCAGTATCACGCCAGTGTAAGGTTTCACCACGGCGTAGTTGGCGCTCTGGTGGCCTTGAGTGCAATACAGTGGGAAGAGATGGTTTGCGTGCGGGTGGTATAGCGCCTAGTGGTGGACCAATACGTCTGCCTTTGTTGGTAACGATAGCGGGGCGACCCAAGAGCAGTTGATTGACAGTCAGCGATTGACTAGGTTGCGTAGCAGAGGTGGTGATGGCGCTCTGGCGGGCTGTGGTGCATGCGGTGGTTAGTATAATATGCGCTTGACGCTGCCTTTCACGCAGGCGATCGTATTGCTTCTTCAGCAATGAAATATCCAATGCGAGGCGTTCTTTATTCTCGGAGACTTGCTTGCTTGCCGCGCTGCTGTTGCCTTGCGAACCACGACGACCCCACGGCATGCCCCAGACGGTGGCGACAGCGAGGCGCGACTCCTCATCAGAGCCGGGCTCTTCGTCATCATAATAGAATCTGCAAAGCAACATGGTTTAAATAATTTAAAATTTTCTATAAATTAAGGAGAACGTATTAAATTACTGTAAGCCTTGTTTGTGACGCAACGGTGTGATGTTGTAGAGATGCTTGTCGCGCAACCGTTGTATGTCTGGTATCGGCCCGAGCTGTACAACTTTCTCAATTAACCCATTCGAATCAATGAGATGCCCATTAAGCAATTCACTAGAAAACGAACCCATTTTGCCGTAGAAGTCATCAGCTGTGCGTGTACTAAGCACGCGACTGTGGAAAGTAATAGTTTTGAGTTACTAAATATTAAATATAAACTTTAGTCGAATACTGTAGTGGACTTACTCTTCTAGCAAGCTCCATAGCACCAGCGCTGTACGCAACAATACATCACTGCCTTCGATGAGCACAAGATCCCAGACACGTAGCACACAAGTCATGGGCAGGCAGGTGCAAAACAACGTGAGAAACCATTGCATGGTGAAGACATTCGTTAGCGGCGGCTCGTAGGCATTTTCAATAGGGCCCTGCAGCTTTTGCAAATGTTTCGCCAGTCGTGGCAGCTTGGTTTGCATCAACTCACGAAACACTGCCATGTCGGCCTGTAAGCCACCCATGGAGCCATGGAAATAGCCTGGCGGTAGCACGCCCTCAACCAAGTAAATCATCACTTTCATAGACTCCGCCTCCTCCTTTTCCATAACTTGCAATATTAACGCGCCAAGCATATTGAAACCCTGTGTCCAGTGCATGGTAATGAAAATTGTAAATACATAAAGGCTATGTTAGATAAAGGGCACATTTACCTGACAATAACCAACTTCCGGATTGTAGCGCGCATAACCTAAAAGTATGCGCTTCAGTTTGGCCTGATTGATCGAGCCAGCCGGGCCGGTGCACAAGTTCGAGCCGGTGCGGTGCAAGTCCTGTAAAATAAAGTAAGATAATTGAGATTGAAGCAATAAATAAAGACTCCTGAGCTGATGTCCAGAGCGACCCTTCGTCCCGTCTGCATCCATGCCTCTAAAGTGTGCAATTCTATTTTACATTCAAGTGCACCAATAAAATTTGGTTTTTCTTTCCAAACCCACCTTGACAATTTGTATGCCCAGCTCTTCGTCATCTTCGCGCCACTTCTCGCAGAAACACTTCTCCTCCTCCTTTGCCCAGTCTATGTTTTTTGATTTCAAATATTTATCCGCCAGCGAGAGCCACAACTATGCAAGCCAGTCATGTGACGCGAATGTTGAATAGAAAAATGTTCCAATTAGAGAGCAATTAAATGAATTTCCGGGCAGTCGTGTTGACCCACAACTGCATGTAGCTTACCTTGCGTCTAAATTCCGGTGGCATGCCGCCAGGCAAACGCGCCACCAACTTCATTGCATGCAACCATTGATTGTAATCGGATGCAGCATCAGCATCGTCCTTTGGTGGCGGCGGCGCAGCTGTGGCGGGCGAGATGTCATCGTCACTTCGGGCGCCAATGCCGGAAGCACGTGGATCATTGTTATTGCTTTGTGCGTAATTGGCTTGCATGTTGGTGGGCGATGTTATGACGGAAGCGGACTTGGGTGGTGGTGGTGAGAGACTGAATCGCATTTTTGGATGAACATTGTCTGGAAATTCGAATGAAATTCAATTGTAATGCAAAGCGGAAGGGAAAGATTAAAAGTAGCTGTGCCAAATAAGAAGTTAGCTTTTATACTAAGGCGCTTTAAGTAGCATTAGAAGGAATGGAGAGAGAGAGAGAGTTATATAGATACATATGTATGTATATTTGATAGAAAGATTAAAAATATCTCATATATGATAGATAATATACAAGTATATAGATATACATATATGTAAGTATATGTTAGTTCGAGTGAGACTTACAATATCCGTGCAGTATGCAAACTTTTAGTTAATTATTTTTTGTAAATAGAGAGTAGTAGTAGAGTAGTAGTAGTAGTAGTAGTAGATTTGGCATTTAGCATTTTACACGAAATACGCACATGTTTTTTTTTTTGATTTTGAGAAAACAAGAAAAAACGAAACAAAAACACAAATATTTATTTTAGAACCAAAGTATAACACAATTACCACATAGAAAAATTTACACACAATTTCAGCAGAATTCGCAAT